TGGTCCTCGCAGAATACGTTCTTCATGAACTGAGTCTTTCTCCGTTTGATTCGTAATCCTATCCGCTTCCCTCTCCACTCAATTCCTTCACCATCGTCTCCGCTTAGAGTACTCGAGAAGAGAAGTCGTCCGCAAAACGAAGATTCGAGAGGAATCTCCCATCAACTCGTAGACCTTTCTCGTTTCAATCCTGTGATTTCATCATCCAGCAAGGTGGCGGTAAACAGCTTTGATGACACGGTGTCGCCTTGTCGAACCCTTTTGAAATCGTTACGTTAAGGGAGCGATGGAAAAGCTGTACCATTGTAGAGCAGTTCTTGTAGCAGTCGGAATATCTTCACTCTGTCAACTCTGTCATCATCTCTGTCAAACACTTTCTCATAGTTAACGAAGGTTAGCACGAAAGGTAGGCGGTACTCTCGGCAAACCTTGATAGTCCTTGAAACTGTCTGGATTTGATCCACGCATCGGAACTCCTTGCGAAATCCAGCTTGTTTTACAGGTTGGACTTCATCCAGTGTCCTTGATATGCAAACGAGAGAAATTTTCGTGAAGAGCTTGTAACGCACGCCCAGCAGGCATACTGGACGATAGTTCCGAAGATCCTCCAGCTCTTAAGAGGTCGGCCGAAACATGGTCATGTCCCAAAGCCATGACTGCCTTCATGGTCTGAATTGCGGCGCGTACTCCAGCAGAAAGAATCCGATCCGTCGTGGTATTTCTCCAGTAGGATAACAGGGTTTGACATGAGTGTTGACGAGCGGAAAAGATTGGTGTAGTCGATTACCTGTACTTCCGAAGATTTTTTGCAAAGCTGTTCTGCAACTGGTATTGGCAATTGTCAAGAGATGAGATGTAGCCGGATCCAGCCTCAGTGCTCTTCTTTTCTTAAGGAGATTGGTGGCTTTCAAAATTGTTCCAACTTCCTTGTTCGAGGCATTGAGGCACTTTCACCAGAGGCTCTCAGTCCTCTGAAAAGCAGGTCGTAGTCCTTCGTTAGGTCCTCCACAATGCAGTAAATAGTCAGAAGCTCCTCATCTTACGCTGTCATATACCACTTCTCTCTTTCCTCCAACACGGTGACAGATCTCTTTTCGAGTCTTCGGCTGAATTGCACTTTTGCACGAAAGAGACGGTGATCTGAACTACTGCTAAAACCTCCGGTGTTTTTCTTCATAATGGAATTGCCATGAAAAAGTCGTGCGGCGAAGAAGAGCCCAACAAGACGCTTACCATTCTCATAAGTCTTGATCCAAAGCTTCCGATCCTGTGCTTCCCTTCTTCTGGCATCCCGATTTTCGCATTGAAGTCACCCAAGACAAATGTGTAGAAGGATTTTTTTTGCGTATGACTTTCTCCGAATCTTCATAAAAAGCATCTAGCTCCGAGTCATCAGCTTTTGATGTTGTTTTCTGATGCAGAGGACGGAGACGAAGGACAGCCAGGCGAGGTGATAGGATCTCATGCGACTGGACAAGATGGACAGACAGATGGGTGTACGAGAAATCTAACGCCTCCAACGTTCCTTGATGGAACCTTTTTACCACGAATGATCACTGTGCCATCACTCAGCTGTCTAACGTCCATCTTCTTAAACTTTGCTTCCTGCACGGAATTACGTGGTATTTGATGCGCTCTGCAGTCGAGAAGGGCGTGAAGATCGGCGTTGGTGGAGACTGTCTGGCGTTGTAGATGCAGAGCATGAGACAGTCTCCATGTCGAGCTGTTGATGTTTTTTTTGGCCCGAATTCCATGACGTCCTGTGCTCCGACGCCGTAAATTTGATCCAGTGTGTGGGCTTTTTTCTTTTTTAGAAGCTGTACAAGCAATAGATTTTTCTCGGAACTCAGCAACCTTGCCAGGGCGTGCCAAAACTAAACCACTGGTAGTTGCTGACTTTTATGGGTAAACCACCTAGCGACAGAATTAGCTAGACGGGATGCTTCTAGCATGGCTTACTCGTACCGGAGAACCGGGATTGTCGAACACCTTCTCAGCTTGGGAGGTGCTGGAGGATAAACCTCCGCTGTACTTCGCAGTTCGAAACCCAGAGTCACCCCCGCACCACGATGGGGCGGTAGACCATCATGGGGGGGGGGATTGTATCAGAACAGCTATTTTGCGAAGGATATAAGGAAGTCTGATATTTCTGATGATATAGCAAATATTTGCAGAACATCTACGTAAAGCAAGCCCTCAAAGACCTCTTGAGAATGAAAGATAAATTACCAAATTTCCACGTTTTCGGAAAATTTTATAAGAAAATGTGCTCCAAGCAATTCTTAGCGTTCTATTCGACAGCGGTTGGTATAGAAATCATTTGTTTGTCTTCTTGCCACAACTGCTGCTCATGGATTCACTCACGCCTCAGGCTTGTTTGTTCCGTAAACTTCGCTGGGGCCAAACTCGTTTTTTTAGCCGGTATCGTTAATGTTATATCGCGTTGCCAGTTTGCATT